GTGAATATTCACTCAAATAAATACAAAATATAATAAAATAAACATTAAGGTGCAGCTTTTCGATGAACTGAAATAATCTGTATTTGAACTGTACTGTACTAGTTCCTAAGCAGCCAGCTTGACATTATGACTTGCTTGTCATTGTATTTTCATGTTTTTTTAAAGAAAAATTAACTTGTCGAAAGGACAGATCTGCTGGCACTAACAATGTCTCCTGCTGTGGAGAACACCCTCTCTCTAGGGACAGAGGTAGCAGATACAGCCAGGTAGCGCTTTGCTAACGAGGCAACATAAGGATATTTGGTGTTTGTAATAGCTTTGGCTCGGTCTGAACTCTCTGCGAGTGGTGGAGGCTTACATGCTAGCGGGAGTTGGGTTTGCACTTCAGTCTGTTTTCTTTTGGTACCGGTGATATTCAAGTTCGGGTGATGCCTTTTCAAGAGTGTGCAAGTGTGATGTATTGCTAGCCGCGTAACCAATGTTAGTTGAACAATGCCGACAAACAGCTTTGGTTCGGTCCACCTGTCTTTGTCCTTCATCCTTGTACGTAACTGCGAAACCAAAATGTTCCCAAACCGGAGACTTCAATGATGCTGGAGGATTTTCGAGCTCAACTTTATCTGCGTTCGCCATTAATTTTCGACAGTTCCTCAAATTACTGACTACATTTGAACGCATCCCTGTGACCCGCTCTCATAGTATGCCTCTCGTCCAATGAAATGACTTGCTCGCTCTCTGACGCGTTGAACCCAATGTGAGCAAATTACTCTGAATGCTGCGACGCAGCACCTGAGATTACTTCCAACAAGTTGTTCACGTTCTCAATTTTTTACGTTTAACATTATATTCGTTCGGTACACTTCGGTACACTTCGGTACACACCTGTACCGAACCGAAGGGCCCGTACCGAATAATTTCGGTACGGGTACGTGTACCGTTACACCCCTACTAGTTTAGCATATTCAGCCCGGTAAGAACCTCGATTTTGGAGGGCCAGAAAAAAGGTGAAAAAGTAGGTGCGGTACCCCCACAAATAGAATCAAATTCTGTGGGGAACACTGCAACTGCTCCATTATATTTATAAACCACTAAAACAAACATCAACAATCAGGTGAGAGCTAGTTCCTAGATAACTGCTGTTGCTGTCTGATGTACAGGGACTCACCAATCACTCTGCTAGACCACTTGTCTGACTGTGGGGGTTTCTGCTCTTCAAAGTTCCCTGGTCAAACCATACCACTAAAAAGGATAGAATAAAAGCACTATGAAACAACAGCATCATGGTTTTGTCAATGTGGAAGTATTCATTTCCTCAAACAGATATTCTATTCCATGCCTTTTTTTTGTACACTGCTTTACAAGTTTATTCAAAGTTCAGTTTTAAATCAATAAGTGTTGTGCTGCATCCAGCAAACATATGTTGGACTGTGCTCGCCATGAGCTAGTTTGACCATATAACAGTGGCTCTGACCCTGGATGGGTTCCGCGTTGGAAGAGTTTGAGTAGACTTGAGGGGACCCTTTTATACACCCTCTTGGCTTTGACTTCAACAAATAAATGTTTCCACTAATAACTTATTTAAATCAATTCTAAAAAGTAGAGTTCATTAAACATTAGTCAAATGTTTGCTCAAATATAAACATTTTAAGTTAAGTCCTTTCCTTAGGTTTGACTTGCTTCTGTAATTCACTTTTCATTTATGTTGTGCCTAAATACTTGTATTATATCACTTCACAAAGATATTAACCAGTCCTTCACATTCCATCAACAGCTCTGCCTCCCACAGAGGAGATTCGGGCCTCCCAACCTGAAGATGATGTTTGTTTGTGGCCAGTGTTGGAGAAACGGCCAGCTAAGCGAAGCCGACAAAAACAAGAAGTATTGCTCAGCCAAAGCCAGACACACGTAAGTAGCACAGCGTCTTGGAGCACATCGAGTGTGGACAGGAGGTAATTGATAGGTGAAAATGTGCAATCCACAAACTCATTCTGTCTTTCTGTCTCAGGTGGGCGAAAGACAGGCGGGTGGTGCTTGTAAGTTCAAATGAAAGGAAAAAGTGGACAACAGTTAGACCACTTCCAACCAAAAAACCCATCCCATCTCAATTTGAGGTAGGCGCCAGACATTCTGCGACTCCACGGTCGCTTGTTCTTTGTTTCTGATTAAAACAAATCTCCTGCCATGGTCACCGAATGTTACTTTTTTTTAACTTTCTTAGATTTGCATGCATGTGACAGCCGGCAAGAAGTGTCAGTACATCGGGAATTGCACGTTTGCTCACAGTCTAGAAGAGAGAGACCTTTGGACCTACATGAAGGAAAACAACAGTGAGTAAAGTCAAGGAGACGCGCTCTCTTACTTTTGTTGGATTTTTTTAATTAGTAGAATGTTAATTCCAGCAAAGTAATCATTTATTTCGCCCCCTCATTTAGTTCCAGATATGGATCAGCTTTATGAGCAGTGGCTGCAGTCTCAGAAGCCCGGCTGGGGGGACGATACCTCCAGTAGCTCTGTGAGGGAGAACGGCAAACAGATCCACATGCCAACAGACTACGCTGAGGAAGTGGTGAGTTTAAAAACCCAGCATGGATCACACACTTCTTCTGCATTGTGACAAACTGGTCAGGTTGCAGAGAGGAATACTTCATCCCCCAAAAAATGACCATCAATCACTCACCCCAGCCACCATAAATGATTGAGCAAAATGTTCTTCTCCCATGCCTTCATGGTGAAAGAGAAAAAGTTGAAAAGTTGAAAAGTCTTGATAAATGTAAGTAGATGTTAAATGAAATAGCCATGTTTACCAAACTATATCAAAACATCCATTTACAAACTTTGTATCATTGAGTATGGAATCTCAAGCGTTGACATGGTCCTGTTGTGCAAACACAGACCCACAGCTGCGGTGTTGTGCTCCTTTGTTTTGGCAGATGTTCCATCAGTTGTCAGAATCTGCGGGTTCAGTCAAATGCATTACTGCCTTAATGTTTAAACTGTGTCAACATTTTTGATAGAATCTTGTTTCACTGTAGTTATTTGCCAAGTGATTAAAAACTAAACGGCAATAACTTTGACTGATTAGCAAACAGACGGTAATTAGTTATTTGTGTAAATGTTATTTCTCTGTGTGTGTTGGCAGGCTGGCAATCACTGCTGGCTGTGTGGTAAGAACTGCAACAGTGAGAAGCAGTGGCAGCAGCACATCACTTCAGAAAAACACAAAGACCGGGTTTTCAACTCTGAGGATGATCAGAACTGCTGGCAGTATCGCTTCCCCACCGGCACTTTCAAAGTTTGTGAGAGGTAAGAAACACAACTCTGTGATCTGGCATGGGGCTGTCTTAGATACAAAAATAGATGATTATGTTTACAGAAAGATGAACTGTATACATACATGCACAGCCGTAGGTACCTTTTGTATAAATAAAGAATACCTACTTTATTAAAGGGGCCCTATTATGTTTTGGGGTTTTCCCTTTCCTGTAGTTCTCCCACAAACTCATCGTCACAATCTTTTGGACTCATTTAGTGAATCTGTCGTAAAGGAACAAGTGTTGAAAAATATATTCTTTATGGCTTGGATACAATTACCAGTGTACAGTTTCAGAATGAGGAAACAGAAAATAACTTTTTAAATTATCGTAAGGTACAATTTGATATTGAAAATGTAAGGGTTTTCTCAGCCTTAGATCTTCTAGATGAGTCACACAACACGGGGGGGGGTATGGATGCTGCAATTTATCGATGCAATGTTCACTTCCTGCCAAAGTAGTGCATGAGAGCAAATCATCTACCAATCATCAATGTTGTTTACTAACGTGATTATTCCTCCTCTCTAAGCACTGTGTATGTCGCTGAGTCCCGTGGATTGATAGCTGACCTTTTGACCTTGTGTCCCGACAGGTTCCTCAAAGACACGTGCACAGAGGACGAGCTGTGTAAGCTGGCGCACGGGGAGCAGGAACTAAAAGAATGGATGGAGCGCCGAGAATTCCTTTTGATGAAACTTGCCAAAGCCAGAAAAGACCATCTTATAGCACCTAATGACAATGACTTTGGAAAATACAGTTTTCTCCTTAAAGATATTATTTAATGGTGGGATGACAATATCTGAGCTACGTTGCAGTTAATGCAGTATTCAAACAGTCTGAGTCAGGTGATCCTACAGGGCCTCTGAGGCGCACAGGACGCAGCCTGATGGCAGCATGATTTTTAAGGGGGGGTGGCGTTCAGGGCCGGCCCTCTGATTGGTGGCTGGTTTTCTCTGATCTGAACTACACGAGTGTTATCATTAACAGCAACAACTGAGTGGGAGAGCTATATTCTACTCATTCAGTAGAATATCTAAAAGCAGTGCGGAAGATGGCACGCGTAAACCTTAAATCTGTTCAGATGCGGCTGACCTTACAGTAATTTCTTTTCATAAGCAGTTTGTATATGTTCATGACCTTTAACATGTTTTAAGTATGTTATACTTAAATTGAGAGTACGGATGACATTCTCCTATTTGAATCTGTCAGCATAGGTCATTTTCCATTTAACCCATAGTGTTACCAGTGTATTGGGAACCACACCAAATAAAGCTTTTTTTAAACCTGTATAATCTGCTGTGGTATTAATTACGTGTGTGGGTGGAAAGATGTATAGGTATTATAAGTTACTTAATCACAGTGAGTGGTATTCTACGACAGTGTCCTTTTCTTATTGATACAATAACTTATAAGCAGGTTTTTATTTTAAAGCTGTTTTAAGAGTTCATATTTGATATGCTCATCTTGGTAATGTAACTAACGCTTTCAAATATTAGTGAAGTAAAAACTAAATTTCCCACTAAAGTGTAATCATACATCACTATTAAATGTAAATATAATCAAGTTCAGTACCTACAATTTTACCCGAGTGAATGTAATTTTCTACAGGCATAAAATAACTTGGATAACATTAATGCGTTAGAATTATTATAAATTCGTCATTAGTTAATCCTAATGCATGCAGAGTACTTGTGAAATATGACTCATCTTTATTTAACATTTGTACAACTTTCTTCCAGCCTTTTTCTATTGTAAATATAAACCAAAAAATTACAAGACATATCCTAAAATAAGTTAATACAAGATGCATCCAAATCTGGGTAATGTTTTAAAGGTAGATTCAACATTAAGCTCCATTTTTGGTCCCACTTCACAGCATAGCCACAGTAAGCATTAGTAGGAGTCTGTTTTCTCCTGTCTTTGTCACTCTTGCATCATACCTCAATCAGAAGCCTGACAAATCTGCTGTTTAGTCCAATGATGTATTTTGTTCCAACTGTCCACAATGACTTGAATGCTGCACACCCATCTGGACAGCTATGACAGGACGAGGGCTTCCTGCCACCATTAGCTCTGCATTCAGGCCAACACCTGCTGCAGATCCTCCACCTCCAGCTTCCACATCCGCCTGTGGAGCGCGGCGAGCGCAGAGAGGTCTGCCATCTTCACCGCACGGATGACTGGCTCCGGGGAGACGGCCTGGATGACACCCATCACCATGACATATTTGCCTGTAAAACAGCAGCAGGTGGTTCTTTGTTCAGTGGGGAAATATTCAAGGGAAAAGAGGAAGGTGATACAGGGAGGGATGTTCATGTGCTGTAATTAATGTTCCAGCTGAAGGCACCCAGTGAGCAATTCACAGAAAAGGTTGTGGAAGACTTTCATGTCAATTAACCAGAATTGAATGATTGGTCAATTGACTAATATGAACAGTAAATAGTCATATACAAACCATGCAGAATTAGCAGTGGTGGAAGGTAACAACCTACAGTAATCAGGGTTCGTAGGGTGCTTGAAATCCTTGAAAATGCTTGAAATTTGACGTGGTGTTTTCAAGGTTGGGAAAGTGCTTGAATTTTGGGAATGGTGCTTGAAATTGAGATAAAGTGCTTGAAAATGTAAATGCTTTACTTTTACAATAAATTGCTGTCTGACTGAATAGTTCGCTTTTTAGATTAAAAGAAAAGAATTGCTTCGCTTCTACATAAAACAGCTCCGCTGCGGCCTTCCCGCGCTATGCGCGCGACCTACAAGTGTTTGTGTTACGTGTGAGCTGTGCATTCTGATGAGAGCGATGACAGTGTGCCAGGAGGTTGCAGTTTCAACGAGCGTTGGCTAGCAGAAGACAAATACAAGTCATGGCTAAGACGAGGGTCAAGCCCACGAGTAGCCTCCTGCAAAGTTTGCAAAAATAACGATGGGAGAGTCTGCGCTGACGAGCCACATGAAAGGTACGCCGTAGTAGAGCATTTTAGATTAGGCAAACGTAGGGTTGTACCCGAATATTCGAATATTCGTTCGTTGGCCAACTATTCGGGTTTCAATTTCATTATTCGGATATTCGTTTTTTTATTTTTTCCCCCCTAAATGTATGCTATCAATAAAGGCGAATTGCCATATTCTTATACTATATTTATACTTTTGAATTGCACTGTTAAAATGCGGAAATATATACAATATCAGCCTGTGCTCCTGACATTGCGTTCACGAACGCAAACGGCACGCTTCACCTCGTTTCACACACCTGAACACAAAATGCCGAAGACTTCAGCTGTGTGGGACCATTTTAAATTGGACGACGGTAAGAAGAAGGCAGTGTGCCAAATATGCGACAAGAAACTGGCCTACCACGGTGGCACAACAACTCTGAAAAGTCACCGGATGCTGTAAGTACTAGCCTAGCTTAGCTTAGCTGTTGTCAAGTTGCCATGATGAAGCTGCTTTATCCGCCGTTTAAACAGTAACGTTACACATGATCAAATCGTGCACTTACTTTGCTTGGAAAATAGTTGCAAGCAAGCAACCGAATTGTTTTTTTATATTAGTTTTTCAATTTGATCCGAATAGTGAAAATAATAGGAGCAATGTGGAACATCTGGGGCTAAGGCAATTATTGGCATTCAGTTCGTTCTTCATTTATTTAAATACTGTTTACTGTATCGGTAACAAGTATTACACTGTTAGGCCTACTGTTACGGCTATGTTATTAAAAGTATTGTTGTTATAACAGAAATATGTGTTTTGTATCTTCAGGTTGTAAAACGTTATAGACGGAATTTGGAACCAGATTTGGTCCCCGGGCGCTGCACTGCGGCTGGGTTAAATGCAGAGGACACATTTAGTTTTAATGTATGCGAGTACTGAGACAATAAATACATATAAATCGTAACGGAGCGTCCACACAGCAGCGTGCGTTGATGCTTGGCGGTGGGCGTATCTGAAGCTTGGGGATTTTTTGCGAGCAACGCGACCAACAACCAATCACATGAATCTCCCGCCCCCGACATACAAAGCAATAGCAATGTTAAAACAAAGTAAACTGGATATAAAATCCCCAAACAGGCGAAAACCTACCAGTTTCATCCACTGTCTCTGCCTCCTCCCTCCATGCCTGGCTCCTCCGGTTTGTATCCCGGTAGATGAACAGAGACTGATCATAAAGCACCGGGTGATTCCCTACCGCTACGATTATTTTCTCCTCCATTTTTTGGAATATGAGGAAATGACCTGCGTAGTCTCTCCCAGCATACACGCGGTTTGATTGGCTAGCGCTTGTACTGGCAGATTTGCATAAACGGGATTTCATTGGCTGACGCCTCCGTCGAGGCGCCAAAAGTTGAACATTGCTCAACTTTTGAAGCGAGCAACGCCAGCAACGCTCCACGTCGCTTCCCAAAATGCAATTCGGCTAAAAGTCACGTCACCCCATTCAAAGTGAATGGGCAGAAGCGTTGGAAGCTTCAACGCACGCCGCTGGACGGGCTGCTGCTGTGTGGACGGGCCGTAACGGCCCGTCCACACAGCAGCGTGCGTTGACGCTTGCCGGCGGGCGTGTCTGACACTCGACCAACAACCAATCACATGAATCTCCCGCCCCTGACACACAAGCAGCGGTTTGATTGGCTAGAGCTTGTACTGGCATATGATTCGATTGGCTGACGCTTCTGCCGAGGCGTCAAAAGTTGAACATTGCTCAACTTTTGCAGCGAGCAACGCTCCGCGTCGCTTCCCACGATGCAGTTCGGCTAAAAGTGACGTCACCCCGTTCAAAGTGAATGGGCAGAAGCGTTGGAAGCTTCAACGCACGCCGCTGTGTGGACGGGCAGTAATAGTATGCTCTTTCTGCGCTTCTGCTTAACAGCGTGTTGTCAGGTGTCTCGGAGCGTGTTATGAAAAAATGTTGAGAAAAAATTGTTTTATTAAAAAAAAAAAAAGATCTCTCCGCACCGAATATTCGAATATTCGCTGTTGATTACTACCGAATATCCGGAGCCCGAAAAATGGTATTCGGGACAGCCCTAGGCTAACGTTGCATGTTACGTTTGTTTAAGCTAACGTTAGCGAGCTGAATAGCGAACTCGATTGAGGGATAATAATAATTGCAAGGGACAATCATTTCAGAGGAGCGTACCTATGTTAATATGTGCGTTACACTCGCCATCCTGTGGTGTTCAAAGGACGAAGCACTCACGGCATTTCGTGTTATAGTCACGAAATATAATCTATTGATTCGACACAGAGCGATTTTGAAAGCAATGTATTTCTACTGGTAGTATGTTTCGTGCCTAAACCAAATGTGACTTGATCTATCGAAATCAGTCACATTGACCCGAAGACACATTTTCGGTTGTATTACTGGTCTGGGGGAAGCTCGCGAGTGTGTTTGTGTATTTTTGCGTTTGTGTACCGGCCGGGGAAACACTTACAAGAAACACCGGCTGTTGTTATGCTTGCTGTGATGTTACATTAGTGATTAGTCCGTTCTCTGCTTGTAATTATGCCGTTACAAGCTTCAAAGTTGTATTTATCATCTGAATTTGCCGAAACAACTTTAATATTCTGAAAGCCAAGACTTTGTTTATTTGAAAACAGATGAAAACAAACTGTCCTTTATATAAAATTGAAGTATTATACAAGTAAAACTACATTTTGCTTTAATCCCATGTAATTGTAGAATGAACACAGTCTTCCTTTGAAGATGTATAAGTCAGGTGTCTTGAGTAGTCAGAATTACCTACAAATCATTGTACACATTTGTAAATATTATTTTCCACTTGTTACCATTGTGAGTCTATTTTTATGCAGCTCTGCGTGATTTTGTGGCTACAATTCAGACTAATACACTACCAGAGGTGGAATAAGTACTCAGATATTGTACTTGAGTAAAAGTACAAGTACTCAGATCTTGTAGTGAAATTATAAGTACTCAGATCTTGTGAGTAAAAGTAGAAGTACTCAGATCTTGTACTTGAGTAAAAGTAGAAGTACCAGAGTGAAGGAATACTCTGTTACAGTAAAAGTCCTGCATTCAAAATGTTCCTCAAGTAAAAGTAGAAAAGTATTCTCATCAAAATATAGTGAAAGTAGCGACAGTAAAAGTAGTCGTTGTGCAGATTGGTCCATTTCAGAATAATATATATGATATGTTTTATAATGATTGATCATGAAAGTGTTCTCAAAGCTGGTAAAGGTGCAGCTAGTTTGAATGACTTTGTATACTGCAGGGTAGCTTGTGGATTTACTCCAGGTGGAACTAAAGTCTGATTTAACACTTGTTTATATTTCATATCATTCATCCAGATCTGTGAAGTAACTAAAGGTATTAAATACATGTAGTGGAGGAAAAGTACACCATTTACCTCTGACTTATGTTCACTGCCAACCTAAAAGTACCTCAAAAATAGTAATCAATAATGTATTGAAAAGTTATTTGGCTCAGACAGGTTATATGGGAGGCCCAGTCTACGTACAGATCACTCATTTTGAAATATTAAACTTAGTTTTCTTTTCTTTAATTGTTCATCCTCGTGTAGAAGGCTATCACGAAACACACATTTGGTTGTTTATAGCATAAAGAACATCTGATTTAATGTGAGGTAGGGAAATAATCATTTGAGTATGTGTATATTTTATGTAATTTACAACAGCTGTAAGATGCTTGAAAATGCACCTTGAAAATGCTTGAAAAGTGCTTGAATTTGACTTTGGAAAAGGTGTAAGAACCCTGAGTAATGTTTCAATGGGGTATATGCAATTTAATTACTTTTAAAGAATGTTCATACATTTAAGAGTTCATTATCTAATAAAAACGTACAGCCTTATAGATGTATTTAATTTACAGTTACTCTATATTGAGGGAGAAATAGCACAATACAATTAATTCAATTGAGTTACTGATTCAATGGAAGGTTTATTTACATAGTAATATTTGAATTAACTACAAGCTATAACACACACCTAGTATAATAATAATACATTTGATTTCTATAGCGCTTTTCTTGAACCCAAAGACGCTTTAAGTATGACAGTATAATGAGATACTATAGTATGACATACAGATGACGTTAAAAGCATAACATGGTATGTCATAAAAGACTATAATACAGTGTGTAAAAAAAAAAAAAGCCATATATCAAAATTCATAGTATAATACAACATCAAAAACCTAAGTATAGTAGGCCATAAAGTGTCATAATAGTATGGCACATAATACATTCCTAGAAAATGTCATTGTACGACATAAAAAAATGTCATAATACGATATATCATAAATATGTCATGTCATATCAATAGTGTTCTCAGAACAATTTCATTGTATAGGATGCAGAACAGCTATTTTGTTCTTATTTATAAACAACAACTGGACTCTGTTTCACTTTTTTTTAAAGAAATAATGTTATCACCTTGGGACAGACACGGCTTCCCTTTGGGGATGTTGTTGACCCCTTGCACCGCAAAGGTCCCGGTCTCATCCATCAACAGCAGGGTGTTTCTGTCCAGCTGCACCTCCAGGACCGTCCCCTGCATCCACACCAGAGACACCTGCAGAGAGCGACCCCTGCCCGGCCTGATCACATAACCCTCCCCGCTGTCGGCCGGCCGGCTCACTGCCGTCCTCAGCTGACCGGACAGCACCTTGACCGGCGGGGGGGCGTTTCCTATCGACGGTTGTTTTCAACGTGTTGTTCATTACCGACTGCTACTGTCGTTAAACGGTGGTACAAGCCTGGAAAAGTTTGCATTACCCGCGTCCCGCCATAAGGGGGTTATGCCGGAAGTTGTGGGCGTGTTTTTGAAAAAGAATCAACCCAATTTCCTGTCTGGAGTCCTTCAGATTAAAAGCATTACATCAGTTTCTGACAGTTGTTATATTCATTTATTAAACTCACAGGTCTTAATGTTTGTGTGTTGTTTGGAACATAAGGTAAGATGTGTTTTATATTAATAAACAAATCTTTAATAATTCATATTTTTAAGATAATTAAAAGAGATATACAGATTGTGGAAGTGTGCAGTGTTTAGTTTTTGTCATGAATCACAATCATTAATAAGATTTGCAACCAATGGCTACCTTTTGGATTTTGACCTTAATGCCTTTATTTTACAAGATAAGTATGGTCTTTATTTTTGTCAAACTCAATGTGTTAAGAAATATATGAACAGTTACCTATGTTTTGATTTTGCCATTAGTGAGCTACCATTTTAAAAGGATGACTAATGCAGAGATACTTTGATCTTTGGTTCTAGATAACGTTTGGACGGATACAACACAGACAACAATAATGACCAGGTGCATTCATTTCGTTAAATAAGTTTTATTTCTTTAAGAATAACGGAAGAAAAGTGTTAGCAATTTCTGTACAATTGTTTCATCATGGATTTGCTGAAACCCCTGAAAGATCAACAGGGCTGAGAAATGTTATGCTGCCACATAGTGCACTTTTAACCTAAAAACAATATGATTAGTCCACAGGCATCCGTCCGTTTCCTTCAAATGTATTCCAAGAAGTTCCTTCAGTCGCACTGTTGACTCCAGTTTCATTTTTCATTGGCTCCTCCTCTCAATCCCAGTTCAAAAAAAGAGGCACATTAGAAATACTGCCATTTTCCAAGGACTGTGTCTTTGATTGCATCGACAAACTGTGCAGGCACCCAGTAGACCCAGTATTGAGACGCTTCTGTTGGACCCAACTGAAAAGCCTATAAAAGTGGAGGAACAAAGTGATTATACAAATTCACATATTCTACAAACCATTTTAAATGCAAATGAACATACTTTGAATGTGTTGATTGAGAATTAACCATTTATAATGTCAGCTGGACTGACATGATTTACAGTTGGCAACATAAGCATGTTTATAAATAGATCAACGTTTAAAGACTGCAGTGTATTATACTCTCTCTTCCATCCATACAATACATCTGACCTTTTCTGACCTACATTAAGGCTATAACTAAGAATTATTTGCATTATTCATCCCACATGTTGTGTTTTGTCTACAAAATCAAAAACATTCAGTTAAAAATGACATGAATCAGGGAAAACAGTATATCCATCATTAAGAGGCTGAAAACCAGCCATGTTTGCATACAAAATGAGGTGGTTGTAGTAGACCTGAACAACTAGGACATTTGGAAATTAGCTAACTTTTATTTTACAGCTTAGATGCTGAATTTCATGATCAGCATCTTTTGCTTAATTGCACTTTTGGCCAACCGCCATCAAGTTCCCACCAGTTTGTCCTACTTTCAAATGAATCAGATTGCTTTTCTGGTCTAATTTACTTCCCATTAATCATAACATCAAGTTTAAAAAAAACACATCTGTCATTCCGCCAAAAGGAGAATGAAGACCTTTACTTCTCTCTGGCAAACTTTATATTAATTTGATAAATGCCACTTTATTTGGTTGTCTTCAAAATAACTCTTGATCTCCATGAGTCGACTGAATTCAATTAAGTTCTACTTGTTCTGGGACTTCCATTTCACTGACAAAGAAGAACACGAGTGGCTTCAGACAGAAAGGTTAATGGAGAGAAAGCGCTGACATTTCCCGCTCCACTGCAGAGCCCAAACAGCAAAGGATGACCCGTCACTGCAGTGACTTCAGGCCACAGCTCCACCTGCACCGTCACAGCTCATAGACTCACACAACTGAACTAGGGCTGGGCAATACGAACATTAGAACATTAGAATGTATCTGAGTAAAACGGCAAGAAAACTAAACCTATGCAATATTACAATACAATAAATCTAAGGCAAAACCTATCTTGATAGTATATAAATATATTACCCACCTCTACTAAACACATCATACCACAATCTGATCTTTGGCTGTTAACCTGTTAATATTTAACAGTTGTAATGTTAACTTTGAAGTAGCGTAATATTCCCTCTTTTATGCTTTTTGTTCTTTGTTTTAAAGGGGCCCTTTTGTGCTCATGTTCAGGTCCATATGTTGTGCCTCTACTGTGACACGTTTACATGCTTCTATGTTCAAAAAGGTCTTTATTTTGTTCTCATACTGCCTCTTATCACCCTCTCTCTGAAACCAGAGCCCGTCTGCTCTGATTGGTTAGCTGGTTGCAGCACTGTTGTTATTGGTCAAGCACTTAGAGACGTGTCGGGAATAACCCGCCCCTGAGCAAATCTGAGCCAAGAAAGTAGCGCTAGCAAATAGAAGCACTTGTGTCACATAGTGAAGTCACTATGTTATGGAAAAGGATTCAAATGGAGGCATTTCAGGCAGGGGGGGTGTGTGGGAAAGAAACCCCCCTTTGGCATGAACTTTGGGATTGCAGCCTTTGCTAAAAACCTATAACACAATACTGGAAAAGGAATCCCCCAAAAAGCATTATAGGGCTTCTTTAAGTATAGTGTAGGAAGAGCCTGAGACCAGCTGAGAGGCTGTAGCTAATGTGCATATGACAATAAAGCTTTGAGTCTTTAATCTTTTTACCTTATTCCTTTTGCTTGATTAAGTGGCCAATAGGCACACTTGCATACTTTTAAGAGCATTTGGCATTACAGCTGTTAATGATACAGATCATTCTGTAATGCAACAACACTTACTATCATGTAATAATCCTCATGGCCTTCGATGGGTTCAGACACTACGTGTTTAATGGAGCCCATCGGGACCTTCTCGGTTCTCTCTGTTGATGTAAACACAGAAAAAGATAGAGGAGTTTTAATTATCACGATATTTGTGTTGTGGTGAATTTACAAACATTAACATTAACAAAAAGGAGGCTGGCTGTACTCTCACCCTTTGTTCCGATCCACAACTGATCCTGCTCCAGTTTGAAAGTGAGTCGGACTTTTCCTCCGGACTTGTTATACATACCGGCTAAAGGCACTGTTGGTAATCGTTCCTGTTAGAAGAAAATGCAGTGAGTCGACATTGATCTGTGACAGCAGCTTTGAACAGCTTGGCAGTCAATACAAGGCAAACAAAAGCAGGCATCCCTTCATCTTCTCTCACCTTTGTTCCTTTAATAGATGGCATTATGTCCTCTGGTTTACCTTTGTCCAAAACTTTCCTGTGTTGCTGCAATAACATCACCAGTTTAGTATCCCAACACTCCATACATCTCTTTACTTCATTTAGCAGAAATGCCAGTCATCTTACCTTTTGCCTGCATAAAGGCTCTTTCTTTTCTTCTTCGGCTTTCACCTCCTGCTGGATGACCTCTTTGGGTGTATTCACAGCTAATACATCATTCATAGTAGATCCTACCACCATTATTTTTGCACCATTTGTGACCTTTATTTCACGTAGCGTCTTGTCCTCTGGAAGCAATCCTTTGTACATCACTTTCTGCATTGCAGGTGGAAGACCTAGGAAGACAACAAAGAGCATTTTCTAGGTGTTGCTAAACAATAACAACAACTATTAAAAGCCATTCAAATGAAGGGGATCTCCTGTGTGTTCTTACCAGTGAGCGAGTGGATCTTTTCTTTCAGTTGGGCTCCTGTGTTGTCAATAGGAATTTTCAGATCATATTTATTCTTGTTCCAGATGATCTTCAAGTCCACTTTCTCCCGCTCGTCGTCTGTGTCGTCCCCATTGCTAATATTAGAGTCCTGAGTTGTGGCGTCACCTGCAACTGGGTGAGACGTAGATTCTGTTTCACCTTTTTCAGCATCCTCTCCGAGGGCTTCGGCTCCTTTTGGCTTCGCCTCAGTTTCCATTATGACTTCTTCACCTCCTGGAAGAGTATGAAAACATCGATTGGGATCCATTAAAGGACATTCAGTGTAACGGTTACATTCTCAAGGGCATACAACCCCACAACGATTCAAAGGCAATCAGAATAACACATCTGGCATGTCCTACTGCTTAAAACAAAGATAGTCATTATTCATATGTGTCAATATAATAATACAATAATTACATTTAAACAGCATATATTACATGAAGTCTAACTGAAAGGTTTCACTTTCACTCACCAAAAAAACGTTGGGGGAAACCCAGCTTAGTTTTTATATTTCCAAATCACATCACTATGATATTATATTTCCCGTCTGTACATTTGGGAATTTATAAATGGTCTGTACCATTTTAAAATCCATCAAGACTCTTCATTTGACAGCATTTGGTTGAATTTAAAGTGGGTTAGTTGGTTCTTGTAGTAGTTGGTAATATAATTAGTTTGTTTACCATTATTTTTTATTTTAAAGAAAAAATAACACTTCCTCATACTCCTGTGCAATAATTAGCCTAAGTGTGTATTACTATGAGTCAACAGTTTTACTTTAAAGTGTGTAAACAAGTCTAGTTTCGCTTATTCTGCCCCCATCTCGTAGTTTTTCTAGATGTTTCCATCGCGTATTTTTTCCATCTAGGCATCCATTCTTACTTGAGAGTTGTGTGAGGGGATAAATAAAGGCAGAATGGAAGCTGACATGATTCTTGATCGAACAAAACACTGGATGTTGACGGTTGGCCTTACCGGTTACAGAACTCGTAACGTTAACGTAACAAACTGTTTGTTGTTTACTTCGTCCTTACCATTCATGAACAAACCATATTTAACCAGCTATTTTAGTTCAGTTAACCAACTGTAAACCTTAAACTGGTTAAATCCCCAAACGTTAACTTTGGACCTCCACAAATCAAGCTAAATGTGACTGCTGTTAGCGATCGTAAACGTTAGCTAGCTACAACACTACTGAACATTTCAAGAA